TGTTATGAATCATGTAAACAACGTAAATGTAAATAATCAAGAAGGGAATAAACATCAAGTCAAGTAAATGAGACGAAAACAGTCTTTACATAAAGTATAAGCGTATTAGGGAAGAGGATACGCTGATGTAAACATAACAAGTTTTGAGAAAAAGGGAAATTAACACAGGGGTATTACAAGACTTTATGAGACCTTTTAAGAAAAGTAAGAAAAACGTTAAAAGAACGTAAACATCAAGAAGGTCATTACATAAAGCTGTCATCGAATTATTAATGCCAAGAAGCCAAACAATTTGTACATCAACAATTGCGCATTGTAGTTAGATTTTCCAAAGTGACGAGTACAAAAATGAAAAGTGAAAAGGGTGTAATGTTGATATTTCAAGCTTATATCCCCGAACCATAAGTCATAATCATAAAGACGAAAGAATGGCATTAGCCAGCCACAGAAAGCGACGAACGTGTTTACACCAAGGCGGAAAGTGGATCAGGCATACCAGGAAGAACTATGATATAATCGGCAGAGAGGATGGTGGCCACAGGGATCAGTTCCATTGCTTTGGGTGAATCAGTAGAGTCATACTAGACAGCAGAAAAAATGGGACCACGACACTAGGTCAGGAAAGAGTATTTTCCTCAAGGTGAACTCGTAAGCGGGGACAGATTAGTAGGGGAGGAGAACGGAGGAAAAAAGGGAGGAGGAGGGGGAAGAAGGGGTGAAGGACGAAGAGGAGGAGCGAGAGATGGTAGAGGAGCTGGGGGAGGAAGGGAAAGAGAAGAGGGAAGTGGACACAATGAAAAAAAAACAGAAGAAAAATCACTAAGAGAATGAGGAAGCAATGTTAACACAATAACAGAAAGGTTTCAAGGAAAATGCGAGGGCTGACAGTCAACAGAGAATGAGGGAAAATATTAGAGACGGCATCTCAAGCGTAAAAAATATGAAGAAAACCGGAAAGAAAAAGATGGAAGAAAGTTACTGATATGGAAGGACCACTTGATAAGAGTAGGGGACGTTGATGATTAAATAAGAAATTTACCAGAGAGGGAACTCAGTACATAAAGATTGAGCTGACTTAGTGCCGACTCATCAATTAATACATTCCTCTCCATCGTGTTTTCTACCGAATCCTTGAACCTAGAACTACCAAAGAACCTTAAAATGACTTTCAAGGGCAAAATGGCAGACACAACAAAGTATTGCCTTAGGTAACACAACCCTTTCACATAAGAATCGTGACAAAATGAATACCAATTCGAAACAAACGACATAAAATACACTTCAGTTGGAGCACCGAACTTTGGATTATTTTCATCTGACAGAAAGGTGTTCCTAATTGTAGTTTTGACAATCTTTTATAAAGAAGAGATACCCTTCAACTATAAATAGTCCTTCATCTGAATACTTTCAGTTCGCAGGGGTTGGAGACCGCCAAAACTTACGTCACATGACCTCTGTCCACGTCATTCTTCTAATCACCTAAAACTACGCAGTTGTGTTGACCGCTGTAACTTCTGTAGGGAATATAAACTGAAGCTTTTGTCAAAATTATACTCTGCCCACGTGTTAATAATTTTGTCATTGTGAAGGGTGAATGTCATAATTCAGTTTTTGGCGTATTTAACATGACGTATTACTATAATACCTTTGGTAATAACATTTACCTGTACGTGTTGAAATATTTGTCTGCGTAACAAAATATTTCTGCATTCCATTACTACTGCATAAAAGACTTTAGATACAACCCATGCAACTACATTCACCCGGAATCCGTTCTGTTTAGTGTTCTGATACTGCAGACAAGAGAAACATCTTCACTAAGATAAAAGTAGATTGAAATACATTTGCTTCTCTTCTCAGGTAACACAATATGCGTGTTTAGATCACAGGTCACAGCAATGTTAAAAATTATGCGCTTGATATCTGATTTTGTATACACATCGGCCTATAGTTTCCCAATCCTTAATTTCACCATTATGAATATTAATGCTTCATGTATTTCTTTCAAGCACTGATGTCAAAAGACCGTAAGCTGTACATGAAAGTATGCTCTCTGATTTTTTTATTCCTATTGGCTGTCAGTACATGAGGTGTGACACTGTCCGCCAATGGGAACGCTTGCTTGCAGGGGTGCGGCATTTCAGCTTGGGGAGTTGCCGTTTAGTATTATACAGCGAAATTGTTGGTCATTAAATCTCCCAAAATACAAAGCCAAATTACCAACAGAAATAATATAAGCATCATCTGTACACGTGGAAATAATCCAAGTTATCATTATCACTCAATAGCTTATATAAAAATCGATGTGACAAATAAACTCACTGGAAACCGAATCAAGCGGCAGCTACGAGAGCTCGCACAGGCGCAGCCTACACTTTTGTGGCCGCTTCTGCCAATGTTCAGTCTGACACTTACCACACCAAGAGAAGGCAGTAACCCGATTTCGTTCTTTGACGTTCACAATGGTCAATGCAAAACTTATCTTCGGTGGGATCGAAGG